TTAATCTGCAGTAGGAAATGCAGAGAGTAGCGACAGGGCTGGTCCAACCTGATCTGTAAAGTGATCTAACTAAGTGCTATTCATTTTCTTGACGGGGAAGTGCAGTGTAAATGGGGGGCTTATATGCATTTGAAAAGCAATATAAATCACACAGTTCGTATACAATAGGCATTAAAAGCACCGTCGATAACCATTGCCCTTCTCCTATTCAAACCAAAAGAGAAAATGCAGATATTACACTCTGAAAAGAAAGGGTAGACATATCTGTACTCTTAGTGCCAAGTAGCTAAATAAATTCTCCAAATCAAACCAAATCAAACCAAGATATCTTGGGTATTCACTCAGAGGGGGGTCGGTGAACCGGGCAGAGTTTTTCGCCGGTCAACGTGTGTGAAAGTTTAAAGTTTATCATCTAAATTTGCCGAAACAAGTTTAATATTCTGAAAGCCAAGACTTTGTTTATTTGAAATCAGATGAAAACAAACTGTAACGGACCCATTTTATTCATATTCCGAGTCATAAAGACTTTATTTAAAATAAACATTTATAACTAGTTTAGGTTGTTTGAGAGGTACAGCTACCATTCTTTAATTAGATGTTTGATAAGTGCATGCAGATCACATAAAACACGTACACAGATACATTATTTTGTATTTTTATTAAATTTGACAATCTCAATTTCACTTTCCACTATGTCCACCGTTGTTTTTCACAACCAATGGCAGAACTTTATTGAGGCCTGTAATTAGTCAACTACAGGTCTCTTGAAGTCTTTTTCTTCCAAAAAGCTTGTGACAAGATGTTATTGCTCTTGGGGCATTAAAAACAAGATTTTAACTTTAGTTTTTTATATAATATCTGCATTGTCTCTTGTGAAAAACTAAGTCTTACTTTGGCCATAGTTATTTAATATATAGCGCCATCTCCTGGTTAAACCCTGAAATTGGAGAATAGTGGGAGGGCCTAACATTCCTGAATACTGGTCTTTGGCAGGTCTTAGGCAGGTAACTGGCTGGCAGTAGGCAGGAAGCTGTATGCTGGGGTCCAAAATAAGAGGCTCCATCTGTAAATGCAATTTATGAAAGCCTCACTCAGGATTTTTTTAACAAGTGTTTTTATTGCTCTTGGGGCATTAAAAACAAGATTTTAACTTTAGTTTTTTATATAATATCTGCATTTTCTCTTGTGAAAAACTAAGTCTTAGTTTGGCCATAGTTATTTAATATATATCGCCATCTCCTGGTTAAATCCTGAAATTGAAAATCTGGCAACGCCCTCTTGGATAATAGTGGGAGGGCTTAACATTCCCAGATACTGGTCTTTGGCAGGTCTTAGGCAGGTAACTGGCTGGTAGTAGGCAGGAAGCTGTATGCTGGAGTCTGAAATAAGATGCTCCATCTGTAAGTATAGATCTTGTACTAGATTAAAAGTAGAAGTACTCAGATCTTGTACTTGAGTAAAAGTAGAAGTACTCAGATCTTGTACTTGAGTAAAAGTAGAAGTACTCAGGTCTTGTACTTGAGTAAAAGTAGAAACTACCAGAGTGTAGGAAAAGAGCAGTTTTTTTTATTATCTGCGAAATAATCACCATGATAATGATTGACTTTATTGCCAGCAATATACTTTTTTCACAGAAAAATGAATAACTTGCTACATCTCTCAGCCAGCCAAACTACTACTCAAGCAGCATGCGTTATGCCATCATCTATATCTGTATAGTTCAATGTTAATTGACAATAAATATTGTTGTTTTTGAACTGTACTTTCTTTATTTGATTGGCAGTCAGTTGTTGATTACATGCAGACGTTGATACAGCTACAGGCTACTTCAATATATATCACACTAATTCATAAAGCAAGTTAGACATTTTGATGTTCCGGACCTTTGCATGGGGACATTTTCTCTAACTGGACCTCGTTGAATACCCCTGATCTACGGCAAATGTGCATTCAGGAAAGCAAGTTCCCGTAAAGGCGAGTGGATTTATGGCAGGCAGTGAACCAACGATAAAAAGAACGGCTCTCACCAAGTACGACTCGGTTCCCTTCGTTCGTACCAAAGAGCCGGTCAAAAGAATCAGATCGTTCGCGAACGTAACATCACTAGCAGCTAGTTTGAATGACTTTGTATACTGCAGGGTAGCTTGTGAATTTACTCCAGGTGGAACTAAAGTCTGATTTAACACTTGATTATATTTCACATCATTCATCCACATCTGTAAAGTAACTAAAGGGATTAAATACATGTAGTGGAGTCAAAGTACACCATTTACCTCTGAACTGTAGTGGAGTAGAAGTACAATGTAGCATAAAGTAGAAATACTCAAGTAAAGTACAAGTATCTCAAAATGTTACTTAAAGGTGGGGTATGTAATTTATTTCAGAAACACTTTTTGTTATATTCCATGGAATGCTCTTAACATCCCGATAGCAAAATCCTCTGTTATTCCTCATTTTAAAGCCGATATTCCGTGGGGTGGGGGGCTCGGATCCTTGTCACCTTTTTCATACCTGATGAGTTTGCATCCCTGCATACTCTGCAATCCAAGACTTGATTAAATCCACCAAAAACCTGACATGGTGCTAACGCGAGTATTTTTTAAAACATAAATCCATGTGGATCTGAGCCGCAGCGACACGGACTGATTCAGGTGCATTTATTGTCGTCGGATTTTTTCTACACAGTCTGTGAACCGCGAGCGGCGAGCTACTGAAAAGCTGCCCGACGTGTTGGAGACCCCTGCTGTATAGAGTGCCACAGTGACGTGTCCTAAAACCCGGAAGTAAGTTAGCATTTTACCACTTCCGGTTCCTTCGACAAAAAGCAATGCAATTTCTCCATAGGATTTTGGAAAATATCTGTAAATAAGGTCTGTGGTTGACACAAATTGAAGAGACAGATTACGTTTTGTTCTACGACATGAAATACATCAGCAGTGACCCCACTGGTGATTTTTGAAGAGTTTACGTGTCTGAAAAACGATGGTTGTTAACTGTGGCTGAATAGGACTACAGAAGTTGTCGAGGCCATTGTACGTCATTACACCGAACACGTAAACACTCCCGCTAAGTTTGTTTTTCCACGTGTTCTGCTTGAAAGCAAGTACCTTCCTCCTGCAAACTGTTAAAACAAACGCTTCAACTTGTACAATTTTGAATCTGTATTTTTGAATATGGATCTTAAGTTGGCGTGACGTTGAAGCAGCGACCCTGCTGTAGTGGCATAACATTAGCATTTTGTTCTGGCGATTAGATTTATGATTCGAAAATGATAAAAGTAGGGTAGACATGTGGATATTATCCAGCTGAACAAAACGTGATCCGTTTCTTAAATGTGTATCAACCACAGACCTTATTTCGAGCTATTTTCCAAAATCCTATGGAGAAATTGCATTGCTTTTTTGTCGAAGGAACCAGAAGGAGTTTACTTCCGGGTTTTAGGACGCGTCACTGTGGCACTCTATACAGTGTAGAGGCTATCTGAGGCTGAAGAGTGAGAAACCCTGAGGACCTGAACGCATCACATGCATCCACCTTGTCGGGTCTTGGAAGACCGGAAGCTGTGTGGTTCATAAAAACATGTTCTTACTCAATATCAAGCCACGATTATTGTTTTTATTTTAAATCGTATAATGTCTGACTTTTTTTGCCATCTGTGAGGAAAATAAATGGGGCTCAGATCAAAATACTGAAATCTGTATTTTCTTAATCTTTTTTTCCTTCTAATGTGTTATTCTTTTCTAAATAACACACTGTTATTTACTCAACAATAACACACAATTATCCTTGTTTTTATTTATTCGTTTAATTCTATCATCTCTGGCTTTTTAGCCGTTCCTCAGGAACTGAATTTCAAAATAAAGTCACCGGAAACAGACGTAGGCCTATAAGGGACATTTCGAGCATCATTGCGATACACACCCACTGAACTGATTACCCAAGATCCTCAGCTAGAAGCTCGGTGATTGGATTGTTTAGCCGCAATGCACGTTGGGATATGGTGTTTATGCGATATGAAATCCGAAAAACTAAAATAAATGTAGTGGAGTTAAAATACCAGGTTAACCTCTGAATTGTAGTGGAGTAGAATTACAAAGTAACAATGAGCTGTCATGTGGGTATATATTAAATAGATTAAATGTCGTGACTATAACACGAAATGCCGTGCGACTGGGTTGGTCACAGAGGTATCGACCATATTTGCTGCAGGTCTCCCTTGAAAAAGAGATCTATGATCTCAATGGGACCAATCTGGTTAAATAAAGGTTTGAAATTAAATGAAATGATATTTAGTTAAATCCAGTGGTGTAATGTAACTAAATACATTTACTCAAGTACTGTACTTAAGTCAAAAGTTGAGGTACTTGTACTTTACTTGAGTATTTTCACATTGGGCTACTTCATACTCTTACTCCACTCTTACTCCATATGCACATATTTAGTTACTAGTTACTTGCTGCTTACTTTCTGCAGAATCAGATTTTTTATTAAAAATATAAATCAGATAATTAATTGTCATTTATTATTATAGGTTAGTATTGTATATAAAGTAATTCAAATAATCCCCTCTTTTACAAAGTGAAACATTGAAATGATGAACACATGAATGCATTAATAATTATAATAAAATATTTAAAATATATGTATTTTACTTTTGGTAGTAGACTTTTACACTATAGTATTGCTACTTTTACTTAAGTAAGAGTACCCTCTCTGGTTCCATTTCAAGATGATATATAAAGTATATAACATCGACAAAGGGAAGGCACTAGTGAAGTTGGAGACTGACACTCTGGAGATAAACATAGGCTTGTGTTCTCTTGTTGTTGCAAATAAAACAGTTTTCATTTGAACTTTGATCAAGTTATTTTCTGTGTGACCCTGTGAAACCTCAAACTGACTTATAATTTGGCTCAGACAATAACTTCTGAACTCAAACAACCCCGTCCTACAGAGTGTGACAGTGAGTGTGTATGACTGAGTGTGTGTGGTGTGTTTACATGTTCTGAGGTGAAGAGGGCCAGCCGGGGCAGGGCTCCCATGCCTCTCGTCTTCACCTCGGGGTAGAAGTGGTATCTGGCCACCAGGATGCTGTACAGGTTGGATATTGTTCCTCCTTCAGGAACACAATGCACAGTTTAAAAAGCAACCACACTCAAAACCTGAGTCTGTATTTTGTTGTTGCACTGTATGGGCAGTACATATTTGAATGCATGCAATGAAAAATGACTTTATATAGTGAGAATAATGGTAACTGTGTTAATGTATAAACTTCTGTAACTGAAATAAAGTAAACTTTTCCTGGACTTCTGAAGACACAACCAAATATCTCAATATTGACATTGTGATGATTGGCTATAGATGCTTTTTTATTCTAACCCTAAAAATGAACACAGTGAGATGTTATAATCATCAGTAATGTGGATACAATGACTTAGTAGGTAAAGACAGCTCTCTAAGGTACAATTCAGTTTTATTTGTGACGCTTTTACTAAAACCATTCTTTATAAAGTACTTCAAAATGTGTCTTAATATGAGAAACTGTCTGTTATATCCCAATACCATCATACGATTGAGAAAGTGCACTGTAAGGAAAATGATTTTGGACACCTCACTTTACAAGCTGAGAATAATGCTTAATGTGTAGGGTTGGGTATCGTTTGGATTTTAACGATACCGGTTCCAATTTCTGTTCTGCTTATCAATTTCTGTTCTTATCGGTTCTTGATTTCGGTTAAAGGGTAAAAATAGGTCACATGTCAATTTCACAATAAAAGTACGTATTCATGAAAACCTTTAGTTTGTATTTATATTTACAAATCACTTCATACTGTTTAATTTTGTTGCTGTTATTAAACAAAGTTATTTAAAAGTTAGTTAGGTAGTGCAATTCCCCCAGTCTCCTCTACTGTTACAGTGTCCAACCATATACAGTCTATGTGTCCAACATATGTCCTGCAGTAAATATCTGACATCTGCCTGATTGATTAACTGTTTGTAAAAGTAAATAAATCATAATTTCATTTAAAAAGTAACTTTCTATAACCTGCTTTAGGGGTGACATACTGACTACCCTTTGCTCCTGACTTCTGAAGCAAAATAAAGGTGACATAATACCTTAAACTTTTTGTTTCTTGATATGTTCAGCATCACACCTAAATCTTTCAAATTTTTCTCAAAATAAGTTCCAATCCATCCATTCATTCCTGCATCCATTACCTGGACAGAAAATTCCATCTCCCACATCCGCAGACCACCCCACAATGCTTTGCATCTTCTTCAGCAGAAACTCCTCCATGAGGATGAAAACAGGAGACACCTCATATGTGAACCTGGAAAAGAAAAACATTGAGTTGTATTATACTGTAAAGACAAAAGACTCATTTTATAACTCGGTTCTTGCAAACATTTGTTTCTATAAAGGAACCTCATCACGGTCACATGTCTGTACATCACCACCGCTAGGCTAAAGGTGGCTAACGTTCGGCGTAATGACGTTTAGTTCTGAGCCTGTTTTTCAGGTCTCAGGCTAGAAAATGACATTCCCAGAACAAATGACCATATCTTCCCTTCTAAAAGGGTTAAATTAATAATCTTTTTTCTCAAAGTAATGATAAACCTGTGAGTTGGATGTAGAAAAGTCAGAATCAATATAGATCTTTTTTATTTTAAAGAAAATTCAGATTTTACATAGTAAAAAACTGTAAATTATAGTGTCTGTCCAAAAATTCTTTTTTACTTATAGTGAAAACTACCCTCGGATGATGGGTTAGTAGACTAAAAGCTTTAGGAATCCAAAGTACAACATATAATAAGTACCCTGTATCAAGATTGATGCAAAACAAGTGACATTTTACCTTTTTAGAGAGGTTTAGCCAAAACCACTCCACCTCTGAGGTGATTTGGGTGAAAATGTTTTTTTTCCCATATCTCTGGCCCCCCTTGGTCGATTTGGATGGTTGACACCTCTTTCTGACCGTTAGAGCCAATAGAATCGAAGGGGGAGTCCCCCACACACACGTTGTGAAGAGAAGAGGTGGGGGCTTCGCGCATGTAATTTTGCAGCAGAGTGGACCGATCTCTCGCTCTGACATTTGGAAACGAAAAAGCAGTTGTATTGTTTATGGATTATCAGAAATCATTTCAAAGAGGACACAGACACATTGGATTAACCTATGGATTAACTGCAGCATCGTTTTTTTATCGTTTTAATGCCATTGAAGACCAGTTTTGACCAAGGTAAGCCATGTTAGCGTTTGTAGCTACCTAGCTCCACATGTTATGATGTACGCTTTCGTTTATAGCGTCGCAAATGTTTATCACTGAGTGTTGAGGTTTTTTACACAGATTCTGTGTCTCCAGGAGATGCTAATCGATGGGTTGGCTGTGCATCTAGGATAAGTAATAAGGGAGTTATGAGTGAGTTTAGCTGCAGTGATAGGTTACATTTTTTCGCTCGTGGCTAATTCAGAGGCTGAGTGTTAGCATTGTGGGTTTTTTTTTAAATTTTTTTTTTAAAAAGATCAGTTAGCTGAGTTTCTTCCCGTTGCATGGATATAAAACATTCATAGTTTATTAAATATTAAGATTCCTTAGACGTTGTTTCCTGCAAATGACGCGTTTATCCGCCCGGTACCGGGGGGGCGGTGCGTAACAGGTTAAGGTAAGATGGCGCCTGCCCATTAAGGGCTTTGTAGGTGAGAAGAAGAATTTAAAATTATATCCTGTGTTCTATAGGGAGCCAGTGTAAGGCAGCCAAAACAGGAGTAATGTGGTCCCTTTTCCAAACTCTGGTTAGTACACGTGCTGCAGCATTTTGAATCAGCTGAAGCGACTTAACTGACTTTTTGGTACACCCTGATAATAAAGAGTTACAATAATCCAGCCTTGAAGTAACAAATGCATCGTTTTGAGGCAAGATATGCCTGATTTTTGCAATGTTACATAGATGAAAGAAGGCGGTCCTTGAAATTGATTTTATGTGGGCATTAAAGGATAAATCCTGATCAAATATAACACCAAGATTCCTTACAGTCTCACTGGAGGCCAAATCAATGCCATCCATAGTTAATATATCTTTAGGTAGTTTGTTTCGTAGATTATTTGGGCCGAGTATAATAACTTCAGTTTTAGCCGTGTTTAACATCAAAAAATGTAAGGTCATCCACGTTTTTAAGTCCTTGAGGCAGTCTTGAATTGTATTTAGATGATTGGATTCATCAGGCTTGATGGATAAATATAGTTGAGTATCATCCGCATAACATTGGAAATGTACAGAATGATTCCTTATAATATTGCCTAACGGAAGCATAATGTGAACAAAATAGGTCCAAGCACTGAGCCCTGTGGCACCCCATGGCTAACTTTGGTTTGCATGGAAGATTCATCGTTGACACATACAAACTGAGAGCGTTCAGATAGATAGGACCTAAACCAGCCTAAAGCAGTTCCCTGTATGCCAACTAAGTGCTCTAGTCTTTGCAATAAGATATCATGGTCGATAGTATCAAATGCAGCACTGAGATCGAGCAAGACAAGAATAGAGAAAAGTCCTTTGTCTGAGGCTATTAGAAGGTCATTTGTGACTTTAACTAGAGCTGTCTCTGTGCTATGATGTGTTCTAAAGCCAGACTGAAAATCTTCAAATAACTCATTGTTTTTTAAGTAATCACACAACTGTTTTGCGACTGCTTTCTCGAGAGGAACGGAAGATTAGAAATAGGTCTATAGTAGGCTAAGACCTCTGGATCGAGGTTGTGCTTTTTAAGAAGAGGTTTTATCACTGCTACTTTAAATGATTGTGGAACATAGCCTGATAATAAAGACATATTCATAATATTTAATAAAGAAGTGTTAATTAATGGAAAAACGTCCTTTAACAGCTTAGTTGGAATCGGGTCTAAGATACACGTTGATGGTTTAGAAGAAAGAATCATTGAATTCAATTGTTCAAGGTTTATGGGTGAAAAGCATTCTAATTTACTATCTAAGAGGCTTCTCAATACTCTAATTTCCCCTCTTAGTCCCGCCCACAGGAGATGCGAGCGGAGGACTCGAGGAGGGGAACCGAGGAGAGAGGAGGGGAAGCAGCAGGCGTTTAGGCTGCGTCTCAGGTCGACTAAATGGAATCCTTGCGTCCCTCACTTGCGTCATTTCCCTGCGTTTAGTCCCTCCCACCAGGGAAGCATGGAGATACGCAAGGAAACCACAAGAAGCAGGGAAATGAGTTTTAAGAGCAATGGGACGTCCTTTCCTCCGGAGCGTCACGTGAAGCGACATCCGTTTGTGATGACGCCGCACAGCTGTTCGTCTGACAGCAGCCAGCTCTGTCCCCGTTATTTTCACAAACACCCCCGCCTCTGTTAGTACACATTTACTGACACAAACATTTGTATCATCTGTTGTAGACCCAAATACATTAAATAAAATAAGAACTAATTCTCAAAAAAGATAAACGCCATTCTTAAAATGTATAAACGAACAATAGTTAGATTAATATTGAGTGCACAATAGAAATAAAAATAATTCAGAGAAGAAAAAGAGATATGTTATCTATCAAAACCCAGTTAGATTAACATTCATTGGATTGCACAGTTTGTTTGTGTGGATATGTAGCAAATTAACATTTTAAATAGCACTTAATGACTGACTGAATGGAAATGACAATAAATGAAAATGTAAAACGAAAAAAGCGATCATGAAAATGTTTCCAATAAATGAATAAAATAATTTTTGACCACTTTGTTGTTCAGATATATCACATATTTGTAACTGAATGATGCATTAATTGAAACAAAACACAGTATAAACTGAGGAGTGAGTCCCGTGAGTTTCATGTGTTTTCTTCACTGCTCTCATGTCAAGAAGCATCAGATCAGTGCATGCGCTGCATCGTCCAATCAGTGAGCGATACACAGTAAGGGGGCGGAGCGAGTATCTGAGGATATCATCGGAGGATGGTCTGGTGGTTCCTCGGTTATCGCTCCTCCATTATCGCTCCTCGCTCCTCGATCCTCGGTCCTCCGGCAGAAATAAGAGCCATGGGACGCTACTCAAGATGGCGCAGACAAATCAACTTCCGGTGATACTGAGGACCGACGACCGAGGAAATGAAAATAGTCGACCTGAGACGCAGCCTGTGAGAAATGAGAACTCCTCTCCTCTGAGCGGTCATTTTAAAGAGACGTCCATTAATGATGACAGGAGGCACAGCAGCACTCTGTATGATGGACAGATGTGTTCATGACGACTTATATATTTACTTTTAATTCATTCACAGTGCGGTATAATGAGACAATAACAGGCTACAGATGCAGACATATACACACACATATATTTATATAAATATATACAATTTAAAGTATGAGAGCACTCTCATAATAACGTAACACAATCAGAGACTGGATATATCCCAGGTATTGCAGGTCTCCCTTGAAAAAGAGATCTATGATCTCAATGGGACCAATCTGGTTAAATAAAGGTTTGAAATGATATGAAATCCCCCCCTCTCTCTCGCTGAAATGGGGAATTGAAATTACGGGCCAAAAGTTGTATTTACAAGTATTAAAAGTAAGCATAGGACACCACACCAACTGAGACCCGTCTGTCCGCCGCATCTACGCACTGTACAACACACACCTACAGCTGCTAAAGCATAATCAGGCTCCAGCCGTTGTGTATTTTATTATGTGAAGCACTAAATGGTCTTAGAAAAATATCGACTCTTTGTTTGTAGATATCTACTAAACTACAGCATACAAATACAGAGAGTAATGTAGGCCTGTTATACTGAGTGATATATATTTTACACACTGCTCTGCTTTCTGCACGGACCTCACAGCTGTTCTCACTGTAAACATCGCGTCGCGATGAAAGCAGTAAATAATAAATAAATAAAGTAAAATAATATCCAGGGGATGCATGCAGAGCTGTCATTGGCTGAGATAAGTCCGTCTGTGCGTAACGCCTCCACCGTTCCCGGAAATGCATCCGTGGAGGACCCATCAGTGTATCCTTGGTCAAGGAGTCGAGGAGGGGAAATTAGAGTATTGAGAAGCCTCTTATCTAGTGTAATATTAGAACTTACGTTTCCGGGAGCTGTTGATAACACTATAGTGGTAAAAGGCAAGAGGTCATTAATTTTGTTTCTAAGAGTAACAATTGTATCTGTTACGCACCGCCCCCCCGGTACCGGGCGGATAAACGTGTCATTTGCAGGAAACAACATCTAAGGAATCTTAATATTTAATAAACTATGAATGTTTTATATCCATGCAACGGGAAGAAACTCAGCTAACTGATCTTTTTAATTCTTTTTCCCAAAAAAAAAACC